ACCGACCCTTGTGCTGCCGAACTCCAAGGAATAGACTCTTGGATACATGTGACACACCTAAAGACAGCATAAAACCCTGAATGGACCTGCACATCATCTGGTGACCTGAAAGTAAAGATTTCCCAGAACTGAAGCATCTGATGAGACAGCTTTCTCAAGATATCCAGACCAGGCCTGTTGGAAGTTTGTTACCAAATCACTGAAAACGACAACACTTCAAGTAATCTCTAATGTCTATGATCTTGATAACATATAGACTTTTTATGAAAAGTGCCTGAGAGTTCTCCCTCCTACCCCTCCTTGTTACTTACATGTGACCTCAATAGATTCCTAATCTATTCCCTCCGATATGAGACACTGTACCCAGGAAAGGTATTTCCTGACATTGAGGGACAAAAAGCCTCTGAAAGTAGAAAACCTGACACTTGATCAGCAGTGCTTTCAGAGAAAGATCTTCATCAAAAGGAGGAAATGTAAAAAATTATTAAACAGAAAATTCAATTAAATAGAGTGTGGAGACCAGAAAGGGGAGCTCTCTTGTCCTGTGATGACAGCAGAGCCCGAGAAGAAGAAAAAGATTCTTCTTTCCTGGCAAGGACTCAGGCAACAAAAAGCCATGGCTGTTTATTTACTATTGCCCTCCAACTTTCTTTTCCCCTCCATAAAAGCACTCGCCTTCCCTTGCTGTGCAGGGACTTGCACATGACTCACCACGGTTGCAGACCCTGAATTGCACTTCTCTGCTATCCCAAATAAACCCATCTTTGCTGGAGAAATAATTGCCAGTCTATTTGTTTTAGGTAAACACTCCCAACCAGAAATAATGTCTCTTTTTCCTCAAGTGCTAAGGCCCTTTACATGAACTTTCATCCAAGGACATTCATTTGTCACTTTCTACTTTAGACTGTATCTATTTATAGTTACCACTTATTAAGCTCCTACTACATAACCAAGTTCTGTACTGGACTCTTAGGTATATTTCTTGTGACCAAAAGAGCAACTCTCAAATAGTAATGGAACTAATCTCATTTCAATGAAAAAAAAAAAAAAGCTACCATGTTGAAAGCAGGAAATTCAAACACAGGAAAAATTTCAAAGCCTATGCTATTTTCATGATACCTGCTGCCTTACATGGCTTTTTTCATGGCCCTTGATTTACCACCCAATTGGCCTTATAAATCCCTCATTAGTGGATTCAGTCTAATTTACCTTTGATACCCCTCACAGACCCAGCACAGTATTCTATACATAGAAAAGGTTTCATGTTTGTTAAGCAAATAAATGACCTCTATGGGTCTCAATTCCTCAGCTATAAAATTGGGAGTATCAAAGACTCCCAATTTAATGTGCAGAGATCAACTTACTTGGAAGTGCTTGGAAGTGCTTGCTGAGCACTTCTTATGTGCTGGGCACTGTTCTAAGCATCTCATTCATCCTTATAAGAAGCCTATGAGAAGTACTATTATTAAGTCCATTTTATACCTGAAAAAAATTAAGGCACAATTAACTTGTACCCTAGGTTAACAAAGCTTTAAATGGGTAGCAAAACTTGAAATCCAGGCAGACTGTTTCCAGAACTCATGTTCTCAACCAATACGCAATATTGTCTCTGCATGGATTGGGAACCCAAGAAAATCAGCTGAAAAACCATTAGAAATGGTAACAGACTTTCAGAATGTGTTCAGTAACAGAATTAATATGCAAAAATAATATATAATGTTATACACACACTACATATATACACTGATTGCCTTCAGCTAATCAGACAATTACTAAATTAATCAATGGGATAAAATATCTCAGTCAAAATGAAAATATAAAGAAACCAAAAATATCTACAATAAATTTTTTAAATATGCAGAATATACACACCTATAAAATTCTACTGAAGGACATTCTAAAGTGTAATAAATGGATAAAAATAACATTTTCCCAGCTGAGAAGTCTCACTAATGAAAGAAGAGATGGAGGTCTCTTTCTCCAAAATTAATCTCTATATTTAACATAATGTCAATCCAATTTACTTCAAGAGGGAGTGGGCCAGTACAGTAAATGGGCGCTTTCATATAAATTGGTGGAACCTTTGGAGGGAAAGTTGGGAAGGTATCTACAAAAATTTTATATGTGCATCTCCTTTGACACAGAAATTCTACTTCTAGGAATCTACCCTGCAGAAGTGCCAACACATGCTACCAAACATAGACAAGGAATGTTCACAGCAATTTTGTTTGTAAGTAACAAAGAGAGGCAGAAAGAGGCGGAGAGGAATAGAGGACAGGGCAGGGAGAAGGATAGACAAACTACAGGGAAAGGAAATGGCCAGCAATAGGGAACAGATGTTTAGATAATTACACATGGAGATGATATGGAGACATTAAAAGGAAAATGAAAGGTTTAAATATACTGACATTTAAAAAGTCTTAGCTAAACCTCTGCTGTGGACTGAATGTTTGTGTTCCCCCCAAATTCATATATCAAAATCCGAATCCCCAATGTGATGATATTTGGAGATGGGGTATTTAGGAGATATTTAGGTCATGTTTGTGGAACTCTTTTGCTGGGATTAGTGCCCCTATAAGAGACAGAAGAGAGCTTGCTTCCTCTCTCTCCTCTGCCAGTGAGAACATATCAAGAAGGTGGCCATCCATAAACCAGGAAGAGGGCCCCTTATCAGAACCCAACTGTGCTGGTACCCTGATCGCAGCCTTCCAGACTCCAGAACTGTGAGAAATAAATGTTTCTGCTGATTAAGGCACCCAGTTTATGGTAATTCGTTATATCGAACCAGGCAGTTTGAAAAAGTCTCTAAGGGAAAAATGCAAACTATGTCAACACAAATTGTAGAAAAGTGTACATAGTATGATCATTTTATTTTTAACATGGAGTATAATTTAGTGAAGGAGAGATGAAGGTATGCAGGATGGAGGTTTCCTGTTTTGCCCTCTACACTTCTCAAAGAGCATATATTACTTTTATGATCATTGTTAAAAGTTTAATTCAACAAATACTGAGTCTTGTACCAGGCACTGGAATAGTGAACGTGACACACACAGGGGTTCTACTCTCAGGACCTTAATTATCAAAAATCCTATAGAAATCCAAACATGATTTGTTTCTTTTGGTGGAACAGGAGGAGGCTGGTTAATTTGACCAAAGTATTCTAAAGATAACCTGGAATTAGTACTAATAAAAACTGCTAGGAAATGCTCGCTTTGCTGGGACATATACTAAAACTGGAATGATATATTGAAGATTAGCATGGCCCCTGTGCGAGGATGACATTAAGTTTATGTAGTGCTCCATAATTTTTTATTGTGATGGTCGTTATATTTGACAAAATTCATCAAAATATACATTTAAATGGTGCATTTTACTGCATGGAAACTATACCTTAATAAAACTGCTTTTTTAAAAAGCCAGGAAGGTGATACTGGGTAATATGATATTAAACTTGTTATAAAACTTCAGTAATTAAAATAACATGGCACTGGCACCAAAATATACTGATAGACACATGCAAAAATCTACAAACAGATATAAATATATAATAATTTAATATACCATAATTGTAGCAGTCTAAATCAGGGGTAAAAAATGAACTTAATAGCTTTGTAGCAACTGGCTAACCATTTAGGAAAAGTAATTAGCTCTCCACTTTACAACTTAAACTAGAATAAATTACACATTAAAAATTTTAAACCAAAGCTTAAAAGTACATGAAGAAAATACAGGAGAATATACAAACTTGGGTTAGTAAAGGCCTTTCTCAGCAAAATACTCTAGCAGAAACCATAAAGAAAAAAGAAGAATAGAGCTGAACGGCCAAAGATGAAAAACTGACAAAAACATTAAGTAAATTGGTAAAGACTGTGCAACATAGATAACAGAATTACTAACTTAATGTGTAATATATAAAGAGCGCTTAAAAATCAGGAACAGAAAGACACTCCAACTGAAAAAGGGGCAAAAGTATTAATAGTCAATTCACACACACAAATGCAAAAGGCCAATACATAGAGGAAAAAGATTTGCTTCCCCCTGGGTAATCAGACGTACAAACTGAAACAATATGTTTTGCCCACGTTACTGGATTAAATGTGTATGCAGAGAAAATTTTAATATATCTAGGAAATCTCAACAATATAGGAGATGAAGTTTTAAGTTATCTTTAGTTTCTCCTTTACATTTTTCTGTTTCCTGAATGTTTTGTAATAAGCTTATCCTTTTAAAAAATTCTAATTTTAATAATGTTAGACAAACATGGTTTTCTCTTCTCACCTCCTAAAATACCTGGTGCAGTGCACTCTAGAAATGCATCCCTAAAAGCCAATCCGCCTTACGAGGTTTAGTTCTCTAGGGGAAACGCGCACACACACGCGCGCGCACACACACACACACACACACACACACACACACACGCAGGTTTTGCTAATGATCATAGTGAGATTATCATTATCATTGGATCCGCCCTTGTGTCCCCTCACCTAGGGTAGAAAAAGGGACAAGCAGGGGATGCCGGGGTTACACCCACTCTCCAATACTGCGAGCGCAGTGCGGCACTGGCAACGCCCGCACCCAGAGGCCAGGAAGAGGGCGAGCCGAGCCGGGGTGGTCCTAACTATCCCTCATGGAACGAGAATGTCAGCGGAGGACCAGAGTGGATCTAGTGTCTGCCACTGACCTTGGGGTGTCCCCACCGCGCTCGGGTCTGTTTCCCCACCCGTAGGAAGAAACTAACAGTCTCAATCGCCGGGTTGACTCCCTCGGTCCGGTCTTTCCGGGAGCTGGGAAGGACGCCTTCTCTGCCCGGTTGCCCTTCCTCGGTCTAGGGGCTGCGAGGTCGCCCGCACAAACCCAACGCCGCAGCAGCGCGCGTGTCGGTGCGCGGGGCTGGCCCGAGGGGCCGACGCGCGGCAGAGGCAGCCACGAGCGGGCGGCCATTAGGCGATCCTCCCTTAGGCTGCTCGGCCGGACCACGCTGGGCAGGAGCTGGGTCTTACCTGGACTCGCACACGCCCGGCTCCAGCCTTTCTGTCGGCCTCGCGGCGCCACGGAAGCGGACAAGGGGTAGGGAGGCAAGCTCGCTGCAACACTGTCATCCCTGCGCAGATCCCGGCCCTGGCCGCGCGGGGGACGCCCTTTTGGGGTCCCCGCGGTCCTCCGGCAGGAAGCAGCCACCGCCACGAGCGGGGCCGCAGCGAAGCCCGCCCGCCCAGAGAACACCGCCGGGGTCGCAGGCCCTCCCAGGCTGCGCCAGACCCTGCAATTGCTCTCCGCGTGCCAGCTGCAGCAACCCTAATTCTTTTTCCCTCGCTCTGGAGACGTCTCCGGGGTGGGCGCTCCAGTCATGATGCCAAGGGGGCTGAGCATATCGTGCGCAGCGGAAACCTACCCGGTGGGGGCGGTCAGCTCCGTCCCCTGCGCACGCTGAAGGCCGCTGCTGGTGTCGCCTCGTCTATCTGGCCCATGCCCATGGAGGAGCCATCGCCGGACCCTGAGGCCTCGGAAGAGCGGGCGCAGCCGGGTGCGCGCGGAAACCTCACCTCCTGCGGCGCAGCTCCGGCGCGGAGTCCCCTCGCTCTGGCAGGCCATGTGACCTGAGAGCTGGGGAGCGACTGCAGCCCCCAGAAGCCAGCTTGGGGAAAAAAGGACGGCAAAAGGCGCCAACTGATGGGCATAAAGGGAAAAGCAGGCTCAGGGCAAAGGAAGTTGAAATGCTGGAAGGATTAGGTATCTGCAGTGTTCACAGCCCCAGCTGGCCATCAAGCGTGTTCTCTTAATCGTGGGAGGAGATTTGGGGTTTTTTTTTAATGTGCATTCTTATTTTTTATTATTATTTATTTAACATCTTTATTGGAGTATAATTGCTTTACAATGTTGTGTTAGTTTCTGCTGTATAACAAAGTGAATCAGCTATACATTTACATATATCCCCATATCTCCTCCCTCGGCGTCTCCCTCCCACCCTCCCTATCCCACCCCTTTAGGTGGTCACAAAGCACCGAGCTGATCTCCCTGTGCTATGCGGCTGCTTCCCACTTGGTAGCATATATATGTCAACGATACTCTCTCACTTCGTCCCAGCTAAACCTTCCGCCTCCCCGTGTCCTCAGGTCCATTAGATTTGTTTTTGCCAATAATAAAAATAATAGCGGACACCACTTCCACCCCTAATCCCCACTGTACCCCGCATTATGCCAGATACCGTATGAAAATTCCTCACTTTACTTCTGTACATTAGAGACTGTCATCCCCAATTTGTAAATGAGGAAAAAATATTTGAGAAGGTAATTTGCCAAGTGCAATACTCCAAAAGCCAGAATTTAAAAACAAACAAACAGAAAGGTTTGCTCTAATCAAATTACCTAGCCACGCATGGGAAGTAGGTCTGTGGCTCTTTCCACTCACCTGTCAGTCTCTCCCAGAAGTGGCTTTGGTGGTTCATTTGAGTCCAAAGCACCCTCAACACTTAATTTTGGCAGATAGATAGTCATACTCATCTTACAGATGGAAAAATTGAGGTTTGGCCAAAGGAATGATCTTGTTCAAGTGCCAGAGCTGGTCAGCCTAGCTTAATACTTAATAATGAAGTGGTTATTTGCTGGCACTGTGCAAAACACATAATTCACATTATTTTAGTGCTCACAACACTCTTATAAGGAAGCTACTATTTTCATTCCGAGTGAAGAAAACTGAGGCTCAGAGGGATTATGAGTTTGTATAAGTTACACAGCTAGTAAGTGGCAGAGTTTGGATTTAAATCTAGGTCTTTTTGTCTACGGATGCTTCAAGTCTCCAAAACCATTCTTCCCCTACACTATGCAGCTTCTTGCTCCCTCCATTACTTTTAGATTTTGCCAGAGAGGAGTGGAGTACCTAACTTTTATCCAGAGGCTCAGGACATAGTAACAGCATCTAGCCTAGTACTGAGCTCATTTGCCAAGGCATCTTCTGGATGATGTGCACAGCACTTAATAAATTGAAGTATTTGTTAGTCAGTGGCTGGCTTTCTGTGTATAGGGCCCAGGCTGTACTATTATGGATTCTGATGCTTTTCCTGAAGAGCACCAGACATAATTTCTAGGGGCAGATCAGAGTTGGGTATATTTCACTCATAACAAAAGCCAAAGTTCTTAAAATGGCCAGCAAGATCCTGCAGGATGTGGCTGGTGGCTCCTGTCTGGCTTCCTATCCAACCACCCTCCCCTTCTGTCCTCTAGCTACACAGGCCCTGCTGTTCCTCCAATGCATCAAACACACTCTCACCTTAAGGCCTTTGCACTTGCTGTTCCCCCTGCTTAGAATATTCTTCCTCTAGATTTCCATGTGGCTTGCTCCCTGCTGTCCTTGATCATCTCGCATATCCCTATTCCCACCCCAGCACTCCCATCCCTTGTATTCCTCCCTTAATTCTTCTCCACAATGAATGACAAATGAATGATTATGAACTCCTGGTTCTACCCTTTAATTCTAACATATTGCACAGAACATGTAGGAGAGAAAACTGTGCAAAAGTAGAAGAGAATCATAAAGGAAATACCTGAAAAGTGTCTGTAATTACTAATGAAGGGCTTTCATGCATTGAGAGAGATCATTGCTGAGCTTCACCTCTCAAAAATCATTTATTTCATAGGCCACAGTGGTTTAATAAAAGATCCTATACATAACTAGGTGATAGCTGAGCAAGATAACTTAGTGTTTACTGTGAAGTCATTAAGTATTCACTAAGTATATTATAAATGCTAATTTAAATGGTAGTTGAAGATGTGATCTATCATAATTTGTAACTTTTATTTCATTCACATATCATGAATGAAATGACCAAAAATCTAGGCACTTCTTAAAAGAGCAGTGAGGTCTCAAGCCAACTCCATATCCAAATGAGCACTGCAGAATATCCTCCCCTCCTCCCCAAAGGGGAAATGCACAGATGGACCTAGGAGAAGATTTAAGAGCCTGACTAAAGTTTTGTTGAGTGAAGAATGTTTGTTAGTGTCATCTGAGAAAAAAGAGGCAGGCTATAAAACAAAGAAACCTGTGTTTCAGGAATCTTAGGATCATAATTTGGGTAGCACAGATTCCAGCAGTAACCAGAACAGTGTCCCATCTGGGGAACAAAAAGCAAGGGATTTTAAAGGAAAATGGAAAAGTGTATTTGTTTTACATAATTTGTTTGCCAAGAGATATGATTGGAATGTATATATATTTTTTTCTGTTACAATTTATTGGCTTGTCAATGATGTCTCATTTGTTATTAGTTAAGGCACATTTTTGCACAATTCTTAGGGATTCCTTTCTGAGCAAATAATTTTTTTCCCAGCAGGGTAAACACAATTCACAGTCTAACAAAATGGAGTCCTAAAGTACAAAGTGGAGTTATTACTGACAACTCCTTCCACATTTCCCCCTTTGGCTCATGATTTTTCCTGACAAAATGTCAACAGAGCACCATTAGTTGCTCACGGCCAGAGTGGTTTGATTACCTGCTCCGGCTCCATCTAGTTCCTCAGTTGTGGGGGGGGAAGGGTCTTGTGAAGGCATTAGCAATAATTTCTTCCAAATCTTCTGATTCATAAAGTCTGTCTCAATGAAGAACATCTAACATAGTCAACTGTGCAAACATAACCTGGGTAGTTAAGCAAGTTACAACAGAGGTTATAATTTTTAGCAAGCATTTGGTTAATATAACTATGCATATTATTAAGATAAACAATAATAATCCAGTTTGTAATACTGTTCTTAACCATGACCCTATTCCTGATGGTAACCAACTAGAGAGATCTAGATAATCCTCAGGTTTTGGTGTGTATCCTATTTCAGCCAGCAGACTGATATTACCTTTTATTACCTTTAGTTCTTGTGTTACTTTGCCAGACTGACTGATATAAAGCAACATTCTTCCCCTAGTAATATACAGGTGCCTCCTGTTGAACTGTCAAGATATTAAGTGCCCTTCTATTTCGTAGCACAGCTTCTGCCAGGCTATCAGTTTGAGTTTCATGATATTCAAATGCTTAGACAGAAGCATTGAAGGGGTTGGTCATAACTTTGGATAATTGTGTATTGCTTTTTCTACCCCAAACCAAGGGAGGAAGGCCCTGGCAAAAGCATGACCAAACCCTTTCTGTCTACAATTGGGTTATTAGTTGGCATATATTCAAAATTATAACCTTCTCAGCTTCTCCGAGATCTTTTTAACCGATATGAGAAAGACCTTAAGTTTGGTATGTGAGCAGTAGAGGGAAGGGTCTTTCTAACAGTGACGTCAAGGGCAAGAGCAATGATTCCACAACACGCTTTCCATTTAGTAGGAAAAGTTGAGTAAATATTTGTGCTACACATACAAAATGCCCAGAACCTTCTAGGGACAAAGAATAAGTAGGTTCTTGAACTGAAATTCTTTTATCAGTTTCAAAAGAAGAAATTTCATGGTCAAAAAAATTCATCTTCACTGAGTACATGATAATCTGGTTGACTGGAATTGTGTAAGTGGCTGTAAGAACATCTTATATTTCTATATGCCTGGAGTAATAAATGAGTTTATTATGGATCAAAATTTTGCCTAAGATTTGGGGAGTCTCCAGAGAAGAGGTAGGTGGAATTAACTTCCCACCATTTTACAGATTTGTGATAAATTCCCCACATTGTCCTATTAAGGGGGAGTACCTCCGTGTCCCAATATCCAGTTCTGTTATAGATTTCATTGCGCTACCACAAGGATTCATTGTGAGAAGTTACATTTTAGTCATGTAGACTCCAAGGAGGAGTGAACTCAGGATCATCTGAATCATACGAGTGTATAGGCACAGACATGCAATGGAAGGTAATATAATGTTTTACCAGTACCATTTATATTTTCAAAACATAGGGAAGTATTATGAGTCAACATCCAGATTCGAGTAAGAAGTATTCCTTTATGAGCAGTGGAAACCCAATGGAAAGTAGTAATATCTGGGACATGTCTCCCAGAGGGAAGGTGATGAGTGCTTGTTTTCAAAGATACCAAAACAGAACCCTACATTTTTGTTTGTTAGGGCCTTCCATTCCCCTGAGGACAGAGGTCAATCCACTAATTCTGGAGCATCATGAGTGTGGTTTGCTCTAGCACAAATCCAACAGTCAATAAGATTTGCAAAATCAGAAAGTTTCTGCAGGGTAGAAACAAAAGAGTGCAGTAAAGCATCATTATCAGCAATGAGGGTCACAAGAGAAGATAAAAGGCCAAACCAAGAGTTAAAATTATTCCTAACAACAAAAGTCATTATAAGGAGAATCTGAAGAGGGGTGGTTCAGTATGTTGGCCAGTATATGAGTACCAGGAAAAAACAGTCATAAAGGCAGCAAGTTCCTCTGATTTCATGGGGTTTTACCACCAACTGAGAATTCCTATTGTGTGTAGTAAGGCAAAAACCATTAGAATACCTATTAAGATAAACAGCAGTCCAAATACTTCAATCCAACAATGCTTCATGTCCAGTTTTCCAAAGCATTTGTGAGATGCTCTTTAAATTAAATATCAAGCATAAGCCTTCACTATGTGCA